ATCTTCTTTCTTTTTAGACAATTATCTAGGAATACTTATCATAAATGGATCAGTGCATTCATGATATTAATGAGGGTAACTGGTTATTACCACAACAGAAAGAAAGAGAGAGTTTATATATATATATATATATATATATATATATTAAGATATTTTTATGTTTATACATTCTTTTTATAGATAGAAATATGCTCTTTAAGTAAATGCTCTGTTTATAATAAACAGTATTAAACAACATTTACCGGCCTAAATACTGTTTATTATAAACAGAGCATTTACTTACATATTTGTATCTATGAAAAGAATGTATAAACATAAAAAGGTCTTAAAATAATTGTCGGACTTTTCATATATAAAGTTATGTACAAAAATTATCAGCAAAAACTTTTTTAATCCTATATTCAGTTTTTAACTTTCAAAATCATTTACTAGGAACGTTTCCACACCAACAAAATAACATTATAAATTAATAGTATTTAAATATAAAATATTCTCTAAATATTTTAGTAACCAGTCTAACACTTTGGAGATTAGACACTGAAATCTGCAATGAAAACATAGTGTATATATGCAGGAATTTTGATGCCGACTACAAGTTATCTTGTACTTGGCATTTTCTGATAAATTTTCATCTGCGAGCACCAACAAGTTTATTTGCAGTGATACTTTCAGTATAAAAAACAATGTTAAGACTTTAATTGAAGCTATAAATGAACTCATAAAATATTTTTATTGCTTAAGTCAGCAATTCATTATAAAGTTGGCATTTAAAGTCAAATTTTATAATTGACCTCTGACAGTCAATGTGTTAAACACTGAAAGATACAATGAAAGTGTAATATCTATAGAAACAAAGGAATTTTTCTTTTCTAGTTTATAAATCTGAATATACATAGGATGTTCTGGGCTGAAAATAAATACAATAAAAGCTAAAGAGATGCATATTTGATTAGATTAATATTATTAGATTAATTAATTGTGGATTGAAAATCAACACCAATCTCCTGGCGCTATGTTTCTTTATTGTTATAGTCTATGTTATCAAGCTGCATTTGAAATGAATTGCATAGCAAGTCCAAACAAGTTGCTGATACCTGTAGGCAGGCAACTTCTAATTGATCACTTTGGTATCATTAAATATGTTCTTATGTAGATTTTAAAGTCAAAAGACCAAGAGCTTTTTTTAAGCCATGAGCTGAGAAGTTTTAAATACCAGTTGAGGAGGAGGAGTTCCTAACACAGGCACCATACAAGGGAGATATTTTTTATGGCAAACAGGATAAAACATAGCTGATCAAAAAAGTAATTCATACTACACAGTTCATGGGTTCCTCTGTGTTTGCTGCATATATTATCTTATTGTTTTAGAAGTAGGTGTTTCCTTAATTTTTCATTAAGCCATTTTTGAGAGAAAATTATAATAGAAATTATAATAGAAAAAAAGATTCCCTCTTTTTTACATGGACATTATGTAAAAAAGGGGAAGCATTCTTTTTCTTTCTTCTTTTACTCATATTCAAATAAGTAAATAGAAGGGAATGTAAGACAAGTTCTTCTCATTAGGTTTATTTAAATTATACAGCAAGGTGATCCTAAGAGAATTAGAAGTCCTACCAGGATTTATTAACACCAATGACAATATGTGTGGCAGATACAGAAAGTAAAATACAGGATCTTCCTAAACAACATAGTAAAGAAAAGCAAGAAGACTAACCATCAGTTATAAGAAGACACTATGTATGGTTGTCGGCAAGAGGAACCACCAAAGATGTGAGCTATGAATTGGAGAGGTCAAAATCAAGCAAGCATGGAAATTTATGTGGAAAGTTTTATAACAATCAACTGAAAATGTGACACATAAATAGTGAAAGATGCTTTCTAAATACTAAACAAAGTATTAAGAAACAGGAAAATTTATTTAGAAACAGACTGCAATGTAATTTAAATTCTACTATATGTAGGTACCTCCACGAGATCGCTAAAAAAAGAGCATAGCATGATGAAAAAGACGCCAAACTTGACGAAAACAAAATTTTATCGTCTAAATGTTTGTTATTATTAAGAGGAAAGGTCAAAGTATTTTTGGGGTATTTTTTTTCATTTTTTAATCGTTCCTAGCACGTCCGAAATTTTCGTTAAAAATCTAGTTTTTTTTTTTGAGTCAGCAAAATTGACCATTTTTTTCCATTTTAAAAAAAACTGGAAATCTGACTTTGAAATTTTTTTAAATATCAATTATCATTTTTTCAAAACTTATTTTAAGAAAATCAGAAATTATAATGTTTATTTAAAATATTTTGAACCAAACTTAACTTAGCTTTTGTGCTAAAAAAGATGTAATTTGAAAATAAAACAAAGCAGGTCATAAACTTTCGCGTCTTTTGACATGTGATGAATGATATATTTACGAATTCCATGAGGCTAATTTGTTCTACGGAAGGAGAAAAGTGAAATAATTTACATTTACGTGAACAAATTATTTACCCCATTATTTTTAACAAAAACTTTCAACGGTCTAATTTTTTTTTTTTTTTTTTTTTTTTTGTACTTAGCTTTTCGCCTTTTACGTTTATGATGCTTTATGGGAAATATATTCTAAAGAAATTAAAATAAAACTGTTAAGAGTGACATTAAATTTCATATTTCTTAAGGTATCTAATTAATTTATAGGTACCTTATGAAATTTTATCAGAATTGTACATGAAATACTATAACTTTATGTACATTTATTACATTCTACTGTTATTTGTATTTGCATTCATTTTATTATTAATTTTGATATTTCATTTATGGAAAAATGTCGTAACTGAGATTAATATAAAAATAAGATCATATAAATTTCATAAGATGATACTGATACTTGTAGGTAACCTTCTCAGTTAAATTGAAAAAATCAAATTAACTTCTCCACACGTGTTTCGCAAAAAGTAAAGGCCTTAACAGCGGAGAACAATGCTTAACTCAAATAACGCAACTTAATTATATTCTGGTTGGTCTTCCGTATTTTATAATTACAGCTCGATTATAAGCACAAAATTACATTTCTTAATTACTGGGGATCTTCTGATTAGTCAAAATGATACAATTTACAACGCTAAAAAAGATCTATCTCATAAGGACACTTATGAAAGGCGATCGACTTTTAACTAATTTTATAATATTTTAACAACTTAAATGTAAAATCTATTATAATTAATGAAATAACAAATAATTGTATTAAAAATTCATTTTTCATCGAAAAAATTTTTTTGCTTTCAGAAAATATTGTCCATATTCATAAAAACAACTAAAAGCAAATAAAAGCATTTGAAATTAAATAATATTTTTGTTTTATTGAGTTTTGTATGTTACAATTCAGAGCTGATTTTCAGGTACTGCGTATCCAATTAAAAACAAAAAAAAAACATGATTTGCATTCCTCAAAACCCTGTGCTTTTAATTATTGTAATCACTAAAAAAACCGATGCGATCGAATTTCTAGCGTTTTCATAAAATTAGTTAAGGGGGGTAATAAATATTTTAAAAAAATATTTCTACCATGACTTTCATAAAAAAAACATATTTATAAAAATTTCGATCATCTGTGAATAGTTCTTGAAAGTTTCATTAACATCCGATAATTATTTCTATTTTTGCACGATTTTTCAAATTAATGTGTGTCATACCAAAAAAACGTGCTAAAAATTGTCTATTATTTACTAGTTCCGCTGATACAAATAGAAACAAGGTTTTTTTAATCAAAATTTAGAATTTTCTAAAAAGAAGGAAAATTTTTTTAAAATAGTTAAAAAAAAACTTTGGTCTTTCCTCTTAATAATAACATAAGCATTTAGACAATAAAATTTTGTTTTCGGCAAGGTTGTTTAGAATACCATGGACAACAAGAAAGTTTTAAGGAAAAAGGGGAATAAAAAGGACACATATCAAAAAGAGTTGAAATTTCTGGAGCATATAATGAGGAAAAATGAATACTCACAGGGCATGCTGAAGACAAGGGGCCAAAGAAAACATTGAGTAACATACCTAACAAGTTTGTGTAAATGGCTAGTGGAACAGGGAGTTGGAAGGATAACAAGATGAACATAATTCCTATAGAGTTACAAAAGATAGGAACTTGCAGAGAGCCATGATCGCCCACATCTTTAAGAGACATTGTACATAAGATTATAGTTGAAAGTGCTCAATCGGAAACATTTGGACAATATCTATATTCACTGAATCCAAACACATGCTCTCTTGTATGTAAACAAAAAAGGGGGGAAAAAGTCTTGTCTATTAAAGAAAATTTATCTAAGCTGAACATAAAATTTGTTACACCTACTTCTAAAACAATAAGAGAATTAATACAAAAAATAAGAAGCTAAAACTTGAAGGTGGAATTGGCACTATCACATGTAATGATTGCCACAAGGAATACATAGGAGAAACCACGAGGAACTTAAATAAAAGATTATAAGAACACGGATCTTTTACAAAAAAACACACTTAATTCATTAGTTGCTCACCATAACAAGATTGACCACAATTTTGATTTAAAAAATGTTGCTTTAATTAAAAATGAGAACAATTTATTAAGGTTTCTAGAAAAGTACTTTAATTGCTCGATTGTCCATGGTAAATTTGCATCAGGTTCTTACAATAATTCAACTTTCTTGGCAGATCTTCTATTATCACAATGTGGGATACTTAATAATAATAATAATGATAAAAACAAAAGCACAAGGAAACTGAATGAGACCACCTAGACTACATGGCATGACATAACATTCCATCACCATAAAAAACTGTTGCCTAAATGTAAATTATGTATACTTATACTAGAAATTTCATATGCACACATGCTTTCTGATTTCTTCCCACTACCATCTTCAGGAATTAGAAACACATACAGACACTATGTGACATACACAAAAATGCCCACTAGAATTCACACACACACACACACAAATGTCAGAAGATATAGACACATGAGATCTATCTAATGAAAACAAACAGGCTTATGGTCATATTCTGTTGAAACACCGGTTCATGTACAATCACTGAAGTTAAGCAGCATTGAGCTTGGTCGGTACCTAAATGAGTAACCACTTGGGAATACCATGTGCAGGTGGTGTAAAGATAATGGCTCAGAATTTGTTATCAGAGAACCAAGTTCCAATTTCAATCAGGTTCATTATATTCACTTATGCACAAAGACCCTTGAGATAGGTATAAATCCATCTCTTCCCTCTCCAGCTATGGGTTAATTAGTAGGACTTGTATCAGTAAAACATTATCTCCAAAAAATTCTTACAATCCAAAAATATTTTCTAGCTTTAAATATCATGCAAAAAGTTTATAAGCTGTAAAAGAACAATCAATGTGAAACAAATGGCTTTTATTTTAAAATACCGAAATATTCTCTTCTATAATTAATTTCCAAAAATATTGATGAATCTTAAATAAAAGTAAAACATTAAATTTATAAACATTTTCCTTTTTGGTTTCTTATTTAATCATTCTGTTAAATTTAACCCAATTTTTTCTATTTTTACTTGTAATTGTTTTTTGTTTGTTTGTTTGTTTTTTTTTTAATTCTAGGATCAGAAGAAATGCATGCAACTTATAAAAAAAACAGTTGCTTCAAAAGCAAGCTTCCATATTTTCCCTATTTATGGCCTGCCATTCATGTCTACATGTTTTGGCCAACAGCATTTCCAAAAAGAAACATTCTAGAAAATTTCCAAAAAGCAAAACTTAAATTTATCATGTATCAAGCACTATACTGAATTTACTGCTGTATCCACTTTCCATTTCACAAACAAGTCTCTCTCCAGCACTCATTGGTAGAGCATTGTTCATTTCACATTGCATTTATTCATTACTTCTGTTAAGTATACCCTTTGTTTCTGTTTGTTATTTGAAATTGGGATTAGATTTTAGAAAAATTGACTTTTTATTAAAGAAGTGCTTAAAATTTTAATAAAATTCAATTATTGAACTTACATAAATTAAAAAAAAACAGTTTTCTTTGAAAAAAATGTTTTTGCAAGTTAGCCTTGCTATCCCTCCAGCCATTTCAAGTGTCCAGTATATATGTACTCTAAATTTAGTTTGGTCTGAAAGAGTGATTGATAAATTAATCTTATGTGTAATCAGACCCCTATTCAGCAGTCTAGCACAATGCATTTAATGTAATTTGCATAAATGGGCAACATTGCAAAAGAGTAACAGATATAAATCTTATTAGAATTCTGCTTGTTCATTCATTAGTCAATGTGTGCATTATGCCCTGCCATTACCACAGATAAATAATGGACTATTCCAGTTTGATTACAAGGAAAGACAGAAAAAAATGTATCGGAGACACTTTAATTTTGCTGAGAAATGAAAGTGTACATAAAGAAAGGAAGGGAAGGTAGAGGAGGTGATAATATACTAATATTTACTTCAATGAAATGGAAAACCATGTCATTTTTACCCACTTACTACTTTAAACAATGACTTGCATTCATACTTATGATTGTTATTATAATATTTTGTTAAAATTATCAAGCACAAATTTTTAAAGCTGTCATAGAGGAATTTCTACAGGTATTTTATAGTGGTAGAACTTGTAAGGAGCTTATTTAATTATGAAATTAAAAATTATGATTCATCAGAAAAGAAAAAACATGAAATTTTAATGTACACTGCTAGTAATAATAATATTTTGAACATTTCATGAGGAGAAATGTACATGTTGACATTATACTCAAGTTAAAAAAAAACTCAGAGATCAATCATTCCAATGCTGATTTTCAAGTTAAATGTTGAACGTGGTAGATTGACAAAACACATTCTTTTCTCATTTTCCCTGTACTTGACCTTGAACTAGAAAAAAACCTAAGTTTAATAAATATCTACCTACCCATCTTACTCTCTCATATATATATATATAATCATGACCAAGGGCTTGAGCATGTTGGCCTTGATCAGATTGTTGATCATGCTAGATAACATGCTCTTTCCTAGAAACTGTAACTAAGGTCTGCTCAATATAGTTTCAGTATAAACCACAGGTGTGCTCTCTGAGTGTTGCACAAACAAAAATGTGCCTGAGCAAGCATCTGCAATAGGGGATTGGCTAACCACTATAGTACATGGGTATTCTCGAATACAAGTATATATACTTACACCAATCCAACTAAATATGTTAGCTCTATCACTTATATTGAGCGCTTTCAATAAGTACCATGCATACATGATATATAAATAATATATATAAAAATTGCATATATATATATATATATATATATATATATATATATATATATATAAAGGTTGTAATAGATAAATTGTCATCTAAATTACACAAAAATGAAAATAACACTGACATCTCATTTTAACAGATATATTTACCAAAATTACACAAAAATATCTTGAAATACTAAAGAGTAAATTTATTCAATAAAATTGCCATTGGCTTCAACCATGGCCTCCGCATGACTTCGGATTCTCCTGCAACTCCTCTGGATGGTCTCCTTGTTTAATTTGGTGAATGCTGCCACAATCCTTGCATTCAATTCATCTTTGGTGTTACAAGGAATAATAAGAGGGTTGCAGTGTGGAGAGTTAGGTGGCCAGATGTAAGGGGTCATGTGGCCACAGAAATTTACAGAACAGTTCAGTACTTTTTTCTTTGTTTCTAATGAAATTATCCTGTTTCTTAATACTTTGCTTACCTTTTAGAAGGCATCTTTCATTATTCCAATGCCCCTACAGATTTTGGTGTTACATATTTCACTCTAAAGATATTTAAATTTTTCCACTTGCTTGATTTTGGTATCTCTAATTTGTAATTTACATGTAGTCCTTTCTTCTCAATTTCTTTCACTACTTTCTGTAGGAGTTCCTGTAGTTTTCTTTCAATGTCTGATGTGGGATAAATAGTAGAGTGAACTGGGCTGTCTAGCTGCTGTTGACAAGCAGTCTCAAAGGACAACTCAGAAATTAGAAATGTATGTATCCCTGGTAAAGCATATACTATGTACCCATCAGATTATGGAGATCACAATGACTTTATAATCTCGACTGTGGTTGACTTACAAATGTATGAATTATAATTATTATCCTTAGTAAACCAAGCATTAATTATTATTACACTGGCCACCATCAAATCTGTTTTTATTTTGTAAACAATTATTTATAATAAAAAGAAATAATTGTTATTATCAAATAAAAGATTGTTTGAATTTTCTATTTCCAGTGCCATTGGCAATTTGTGCATCCTTGAAATCAATGATGAAGGAAAGTTTGTGCGACTTTACAATGCAGATCAAAAGGCAAGGCATTTATTCTCTTTTATGATAACAGATTTTATGGAATCAGCACTTCCTATGTGCCAGTTTGTAACCAAAACAAAAACCAATGGGTTTATGACTTGTCCACTGAATTTTTGAACACCAAATTTGACCAGTTGCTTTTTTTTTTTCATTTCTTTATTTTAAACTCCAAATTAAAAAGTGAGAGATATCAGCATATATTTTGGATATTCACCAAATGTTGTCATTAAGAATACAGTCAGTGAAATAAGGGGCTAGGGTGGTTTAATTTTTCAGTAAAGGTAGTTTTTTTTAGTGCAGACAATGTACTTACATAGTAGCAGCTAAAAAAGTACTTACATAGTACCAGTTAAAAAATAATGTTTGTTTTTTGTTTTTTCAAATGAAAATAAATTTTTTAAAAATTAATACAAAGTGTAAATTTTGTTTAAGCTCTGAAATTGCCCAACAGAGATTCCAGAGGAAAATGAATCATTTTCACCTCCTGTGCAAATTGATAGAAGTTCTTATGAAATAGGGTGTGTTCATTTTTAATTAGCACATGAGACAGAGTAAGTCAAAAATATTTGTTAGCCAAACAAGCATGAAGAGTTCAATTCTTGGGAGGATTGACATTGACAATTTTCATAATCGTCCTATGAAAGGTAGAAAAGTATAGTTAACAAATTCTATCACAGATTCATTGATGCCGAACGTGTTTGACTTTGATTTCCATCAATGTTTAGCTTTTCTTTCTTTCATCTGCAATGAAATTTACTTTGTATCTAAAGAGCCAAATATTATCAGCTAAAATATTACAAGAGAATTTTTGTGTCCAGAAATTCAGTAGCCAGATCATGAAATTGAGAGAATATCACTTGATCAAGATGTGGCTGTTCATGACTCTCCACAATTTCCTGTCCCTTGTAGCTTTAAGCAGGTCTACATATCAAGTATATGCATGTATATTTTTCTCAGGAACAACATAAGGCCATATGTTGAAACATTGGTTCCCATACAATCAGTTAAGCAATGTCAAGCCTGGTTATGACCTAGCCACTCAATTTCTATGCTAGATGACTAACTTCTTGGAAATACCAGGTGGTGTAAGCTTGGAAGTTCAGATGGTGTAATGGATAATGGCTCAGAATTGCTTACTATGTAATAGTAAATAAAGCAATATTATATGGCATAAGGTTCTTTTTGTTCTACTTTTTACCATCATTGGGTTGTCGCAATATTCCAGGGGTGGCCAAACCACAGCTCATGAGCCACATCCAGCTCTTTGCCCTTTAATATGCGGCTCATGGAAATATGTTGACTGATCTACTTTTGTCATCACAGTAAATATAAAAGGGAAATAAGAAAAGTTTCAAGCTTTATAATTATTTACTGGGTATGAATTGAGACCCCATTGGATTAAAATATAAGCTTAATGTTCATGTGTATGTAACAAAAATGTGTAAATTTTGTTCATGTCTTGCAGCTCTCAAACATCTGAACTTTATCATATGTGGCTCTTACATTAAGCAACATTGGCCACTCCTGCAATATTATGTAAAAATGTCTTGATTTAACATCATACAGCATCTGTTTTCAGGCAACTTACATTCTTTTGTTCCACTAGTTCTGACCTTCATGGCTAAGACCCACCATGCCACACACATTGTAGCAAACTACCCTCATTCCCTTTGTATTTCATTGGTGAGATGTAAGTTCCACTTGAGCAGCTTCTTCCCACAAACAGCTGCTTTGTAGAACTGATTTCCAAGAGGATGCTTCCTAAATCACTACAATCTTAACCTGTTCAAGTCTACATTTAGCCATTATTAGCAGTAGAGCCTGGCATTGCCTGATGATATAACAGTAAGAGATAGATCAAGTATCCACCATCATAAAGACTGAAAAATAAAATTGACAAAGATTATTGTTTAAGGTTGACGGACACGCATGTCTTAATTAGTTTTTTTAGTTTTTTTTAATTTTTTACGAATTGGTCAAACCCAAACTCGAACAAAAACATTGTTTTCAATCATTATGAGTCTACTGATTGAATAAAATTTTATTATAAATAATTGTCTTGTAAATGGAATTTTTAAAGCATTCTGAATGTAAAAATAAAGAAAAAAGTGTGCAAGACAATAAGAAACACTACATGCCAAAAAAAAGGTGAAGTTTTGTTGAAATCAGTTGAAAAATGTAGGTAGCCTTTCTGTAATCTTTTAGTTTTACAATTTATGATTTTTACTTATTGAATACAGTAATAAAAATTGCATATTTTGCTTGTGGTGATTCATAATTAGAATTCTGATTTGAATATATTTTCCACTCGTTGTTTCTAATACAAAAAATATTAACTTTATTTGGGTTTATTAATTATGATCTAACAAATCTTATTCATTTAGTAGCCTTCTCTGTAATATATAATAATCTTTTACAATTTATGATTTTTACTTATTGAATACAGTAAAAAAAATTGGACACCATGTGTATTTAAAGTAGTTTCCCGTTCCGGTTATTATTTTTAGTTAGGACTTGTGCATGTTTAGATTTCATTATCTTTCCCTAAAGATAAAGAATTTATGTTTGTATTCGTACAATCAGTAGAGATCATTAGATTATTGTTTAAGGTTGACGGACACGCATGTCTTAATTATTTTTTTTTTTTTTTATTTTTTACGAATTGGTCAAACCCAAACTCAAACAAAAACATTGTTTTCAATCATTATGAGTCTACTGATTGAATAAAATTTTATTATAAATAATTGTCTTGTAAATGGAATTTTTAAAGAATTCTGAATGTTAAAAATAAAGAAAAAAGTGTGCAAGAGAATAAGAAACACTACCTGCCAAAAAAAAAAAAAAGTGAAGTTTTGTTTTATCGGCTGAAAAATATAGGAAATCCGCTCCCATATTTAAAGTAACCCACACACACAAACAAACCGATGTGAGTTGTCCCCTTCCATTTTTCACAATGTCTCTTAATCGTGTTTTCAAATTGATTTTGTGCAAAAACAATTATATTTTTCCCATTTTTGGCGCTGTTAGAACCACCACAAGGTAATTTTATGTAGTCCTATGAAGTTTTATTGAAATCGGTTGAAAAATGTAAGAAATCCGATCCAATATAACGTTACACACACACACACACACACACACACACACACACACAATCTGCGTTTTATAATAAGTAAGATCTTCTCCACATATCCGCACAAACTGTGCCCTTTACTCTGTAACTCTCTACCTCAAGTAACTCTTGGGCCTCTTACAGGTTGAAAAGCATTGTAAAAAAAAAAAAAAAAATCACTCGAAGAAGGTCAAAGTGTACAATGTCTAAATCTTGTAACAGCCCTAAAGATGAGAACATTAGTCCAGATGTAAATGATATAAAATACAAATAACATCATCATCATCATGTGCCAGAATTTCAAAAATAAAACTGTTTCTTATCAGTAGAGGAAAACCTTTGAAAGGCCATTGTTTTTTCTAATTTTTTTTTTTGCAGGATGCTGAAATTGGATGCTATATGATAAAGCAGAATGTTGGTGGTCATCCTGTTATTGTTTTCCGCTTCCCACCTCGGACCAAATTCCCTCGAAATTCAATTATTACTGTTTGGGCTGCTGAGTGTGACAATGATGTATTCCATGATCCCCCAAGCAACTATGTTTGGGATGCACAGGTTAAATGGGGTGTGGGACCAGAATTTACAACCATTTTATGCAAACCAAATGGGCAGGTAACTTTCATTTACAATTGAATAACTTAATTCAACCATTTCAAATGATGAATAGTATTTTATTTCTTGTTCCTTGCCGTCATAAATTTCTCTCAAAATTATAGTATGTCTCCTTGAGATTTAAACATCCTCAATGTTAAGAAATGTTATTTTCTTTTAATATTTTTTTCTGAGAGCAGAGTTTGAATTTCAGTCATATTTGTTACATTCACTTACACACAAATCCCCTTGGGAAAGCTATAAAATCCATCTCTTCCCTCCAGTTATGGGGTAAATAGTAGAACTTGTATCTAGAAAAATCATTATTCTCAAAAAATTGTTAATGCAATATTCACTTGGAAAAAAGAAAGAATAATTCTTACAATCCCAAATATCTTTTGGCTTTAAATAATCCACTAAGGGTTGATAAATCATAAAAAACAAATCAGTCATCTTTTTTTTTTAATTTCTTTTTTATATCAAGTAATGAGCAAACTAATTCTCCTTGTCAATTCACTTTTCATTGTTGCTCCATTGTTAATGCCTTGTGCCAGATTAAACTTAGTATATCATATCATTCCATGTGATAAGTCCCATAACCTATTAGGGTTGTAGGGACACCACATATACTGTAGGCATGGGTGTGTATAAGGCAAGAAAGCTTGATGGAATCCCTTCCTAAACTGGATGCCACCACAAGGCAAGAGAGCTTGTTATTTAACTCATAGCTAGGGGAAGAAGAAATGGAGTCACACCTTTCAAAAGGATATTTATGTAAAAGTAAACAAACTCAGGCCTGAATTTGTACTTCACTCACTGATTTCTCTTTCACTAACCATTACACACATTCAAATTTAGTATATACCTACATCAAACTAAAGCACTTTTCTTGTCTCACAGGTCATTGCATATGAATTCACTTCTGCCATCTGCTGATCTATTATGGCATTGCGCCAGGCAAAACTAAATTAATAAATTTATTTAAAGGCAAATCATATTTTGGATTATAAAAATAATTTTTTTTTTACAAGTGAATATTGCATTAAGAATTTTTTTTTGAGAATAACAATGATTATTTCAGATACAATTCCTACTATTTAATCCATAGCAGGGGGAGATGGATTCATACTAAGTGGGTTTGTGCATAGGTCAATGTAACTAAGATGAAAGACAAAATTCATATAGGAAGAATTTACAAGTATGTTTTTCAAGCCTTTACTAGTATAGTGAGTTCAATACTTACTATTAAGTTCACTCCTTACGAGGTGCTTTATTATTTGGTTCTTATGCAAAATTAAACCAGGGTAGATAAATATGGGCACTTACCCTGGAGTGATGGTTAACAAGTTCATCTTGCAGCCCATTGCCAGTATGTTCATTTCTACTGGATGTCTTTATATTTGGTGATCTTGGGCCAGACTAAGTTAGGCCATAACATGCCTTCATTTTTACAATACCCTAACAAAATAATTGAAATTATATTTTCTCCTGTAGTTGTCTTCAGTGATCCCAATTGCAAATTGTTAATCACTTGCTTCCTCTCTCTGCATCCAACTATATTTGCAACTTAGTATTAAGTATTTCCTTTTTTATCTCATTTTTTTTGTCTCCATAAGTATTCCCTTTTTTCCTTTTTTTTTCTTTTGTCCTTTTTTTTTGTCTCCTTTTTTTTTTTTTCTTGTCTCGTTTTTTTTTTTTTTTTTTTCTTGTCTCGTACCTTTTTCCTTTTTTTTTCTTGTCTCGTACCTTTTTCCTTTTTTTTTCTTGTCTTGTACCTTTTTCCTTTTTTTTCTTGTCTCGTGTCTTTTCCTTTTTTTTCTTGTCTTTTTTTCCTTTTTTTCTTGTCTTGTACCTTTTTCCTTTTTTTTTCTTGTCTCGTACCTTTTTCCTTTTTTTTTCTTGTCTTGTACCTTTTTCCTTTTTTTTTCTTGTCTCGTACCTTTTTCCTTTTTTTTTCTTGTCTCGTACCTTTTTTCCTTTTTTTCCTTTTTTTTTTTTTTCTTGTACCTTTTTTTTCCTTTTTTTTTTTGTTGTCTGTCCTTTTTCCTTTTTTTTTCTTGTCTTTTTCCTTTTCCTTTTTTTCTTGTCTCGTACCTTTTCTTGTCTCCTTTTCCTTTTTTAAAATGTCTTGTCTTTTTTTTTTTTCTTGTCCTTTTTTTTTTTTTTTTCTTTCCTTTTCCTTTTCCTTTTTTTTCTTGTCAAACCTTTTTCTCTGAGTACCTTTTTCTCGTCTAATGGGATTTTTTTCGTCGTCTCTTTTTCTCGTCTCGTGACTCTTTTCCTCTTCTTTCTTGTCTTGTCATCTCATACATTATTCCTTTTCTACTCATCTTGTACATTTTTCTTTATTCTATCCAGTTTTCTTTTTGCTTCTTTCTTTATTCTTTCTGTTCAAATGTTCTGATAAATTTTTCTTCACATTTTTCACATGTTTCTTCTCTTATTGTTCCTTTTTATTCCCTGTCTTGTGTTTTCTTTTTTTAGCGCTTTTCATGTTTTCATTTGCTCTTGTTTTTTGTTGTTATTTTCATTTTATTTCCTTTTTGTAGCTTTCTTATTTTATCTTTACTTATTTTTTATTTCCTTATTTTCTCACAGTTTTCTTTTTATTTCTTTATATTTTTGTCTTGAGTTTTTCATTTTCTTCAAGTTCTTTTTATTTCTTCTAATGTTTTCTTTGTTCTTATTTTTTGTCTCTTATTTTTTCTTTTTATACTTTTCATTTTTTTTTCTTCATTTTATAAAGGCCATTGCTTGGACAAATGCAGCTCACAAGTTTAATCCTCAACTTTCTCCACAAATTCCAATAACTCCTGTTCATATCAGGACAATGCAAAGAACAGCAATAGATTCCCCAATAGAAACAAAACCTTCTTACAGTAAGTAATTGATCTTTTTATATCAAAAACCTTCTTCTTGCCATTTTCACTGATAGAATACTTTTCTTTTCTTGCTTATCTATTTTCACTGTTAACAATAAGTTATTGATATGCAAGTTATTACATTCATACAGACTATATTATGTCCCTTTATAATGTGGATGGCTATGGTTCTCCACTACTTTCTGTACTTTGTAGCTCTTAGGATTATTTGCTTTTTTATTAGCCTTCCCACTCCTTGATTTGATATCCATTTACACAAGGTCATTAGGGTGGGTTACTCACTGTTTCCCTCAGTCCCTCTTGTTTTCAATATGTCCTGCAAGTGTCACATCCTCCAAGCCCTCTTTCCTCATTATGTGTCCAACAAATTTCTTTCTGATAAGTGTAAGTGTTCTTTTTGCTTCCATTTTCCTTAAAACTTCCTCATTGCTCATAAATACAGTCCATGGTATTCTCAGTATCTTTCTGTAGAACCACATCTCCGTTGCCTCGTCTCCTGTTCATGAGAAAATTGTCTAGCATTCACTGCCATATAGGAGAACTTTCCTTTATTTCTCTTCTCAAGCCGATCTTGTTACATTCACTTATGCACTAAAACCCTTGAGAAAGGTATGAACCAATCTCCTCTCCCTAATTATGGGTTAAATAGTTGCATTTGTGAGTTGTATCTGGAAAAATGCATTATTCACTCACAAAAAAAAAGAATTATTCTTACAATCCAAAATATGATTCAGCTTTAAATAACCTTTAGTAAATTCTGTCATTCAGGTTTTTTTTATATTCAAAATCCAAACATTAGAGTTCCAAACAATAATAAAATAAAGAAAACCTGGGTATACCTGTTAAATAAATCATTTATATTTACAAACATATGTGCATGAATTTAAGAGTCAAAAAGGAGTAAAAATAGTCTTTAGTGGAGTTCATCTTTGGGTTCACAGAAAAGGTGTAGTTTAAAGAGACATTGGTCATCCGCAAAGATTCACTGACTGTCCAAGCTGTTGTTGGAGATTTCTTTGATGTTGCCAGCACATATTTCTTTCAGCACATGCTGAGGAGGAAGGAAAAAATCTATGTAACCATGTCTTTTATGTTTGAACAACTTGGAGACAGTCACATCTCTGTTGCTGAAAGTCAAAATCTGTGGGTCTTTATAATAAATTTTTTTCCAGAAAGTAAGCTCAAGAAAAATAGTGTTTTAGTTTTCACTGATTGCTCATATATTTCATATTGTAGTGTTAATTTCTAACCAATTATTATAACTTCCTATTTTAAGGTTATTGTTATGACACATATTCATAGTATAATGTAATTCGTTAAGTATTCTCTATATGTAATGCTTGGGCTATTGCCGTAACGCCTGTATAGTTAGTATAAAGACTAACTCCAATACAATTACTCTCGACCTCATACCATGGAATTATTTATAGTATTGGACAAGCTCATAGAGTGACCAGGGGTGTACTCCTTACTTCATAACATCCCCCCCCTTTTGAGATTACTACTTTATTAAATAATATTTTTTGTTTAGTATTAGTATCTCCCCCTCCTCTTTCTGGAGAATTCACCAATGTACTTTGTTGCATTTTCTTTTCCTTGATTTGTCCTTATAGGTTCCTCGATTTGTTTTGGTGCTGACACATCAAAAATTTTATACCACATTTTTATCAGTTCTTCAGGTCATTCCTCAGTGAATTTTTTCTTCAGCTGATTTTGGTACCTTTTATGTTGGAATTTTTTTTTTCTTTTCACCATGTAGACCAATTTTCCTATTCTAGCTGCTGTCTTCCCATGTTTCCTTTTCATCCTTGTATGCTCTAAAGAATACTTTATCGCCAGAAAGTATTGTTGTTGCTTTTTTTTTTAACTGTGATTTTCGACTTGGCAAATAACTTGTTGAACACCGATTTTACCCAATTGGCAAACATTAATTCTGCTGGCAACATGCCTGATGGTGTGTTGTGGTTAGGTGTTAACTGATACACTCTCAAAAAGTTTTGAAGTGCTTCCACATTTAATTTGTCCAGACTTGCTTTTTTCAACGCTCTTTTGAACATTCCCACAAACTGTTCCGCTTGTCTGTTAGACTTTGGATGTTATGATGTGGTTGTAATATGTTCTATAGAAAACAACTTTCAAAAATCTTGAAATTCTTTTCCAGTGAATTGTGTTCCATTATCCGACAATATGGTATCTGGTATACCATATCTTGCAAGCAGTTCATGCAAGAAATTCACTGTTACTGAAGATATAGAATTTTTGCACTTGTAATTTTCCACATCTGAAACAAGGTTTTATATTCCTTTTTGTGCATTTTTCCTTAGCTTTTACCAATGCACATTTTTTATTCTGAAGTTTTCTGTATCATGCTTCATTCAGACTTAGGATTGTTTGGTAATCGTCCATTATTTCCTATAGTGTTACTTTATTATTATGTTCAATCTTTGCTAAAATTTTCATTCATAATTCAGCATCTTTTTCCATTGTTAGACCTTGCACGAAAATTAATCCCTGGAATATATCTGAAGCTATTTCCTTTAGTTTAAATTATTCACATTCTCTGTTGACAGTCCCAACATACATGACAAAATCTCCATTCTCTTTTTTTGGTTAAATTCATGCACTTTCAACAAGCATGGAACAGTGAACACTTGTCACTAAAAATTTTCGTCAGAATGTGTACTATGTCTTCAAACCCTATTTCTCAGTAAAATGTAATTACAGTACTTTTCATACTCTATTGGAGGTATTTTTCTTAACAACAACCTGGTTTTTTATCTTCTTCCCAGCCACTGCATTCCTGACTAATTATTTCTTCATGTCTGTGAAAATACACAGCAAAAGTCAGTCTATCATCAGGATTGTATGCGAATTCTGGTTCAGTGTTTTGCATTGTGTCTGGCATAAGAGACGTTGAAGCGTTTTTCTTCAAAACCACTTCCAACAACTCTTGTTGTTTTTATAACTTTTGGGTGTTTTTTGTTGTTGAATTTCAACTATTGAAGCCCAAATTTTCTCTATATCTGCAAGAAAACAAATTTTTTTAAACCAAAATGGTTGAAATTGTAATTCCTGTTGCACACATATGAGTTTTGAAAATCTGGTCAGCCACTATTATAATTCCAGTTATAATGTGGTGCTTGTTATACCACACTTGTGTTCAATTTCCCATGTTATCAACTATTATAACTTCAGTTATAATGTTGTTCTTTTTATCCCACGCTTGTATTTGAAAATCCTTGTAAGGTTATTGTTATAACACACACTTGGTAATTGTGCATTTTGAGACAACTATTTAATCCAGTCAAGAGATTTGCGCAAACACAAATTTCGTCACTTATTTTTCATTTACATACATAGCTAGTGCAGCCCTTTTTGAATGATTAATTTTCTGCAATATACCAATTCTTTCTAGTCTGTTCAACTCTTCATTTACTTGTTCTAATGCTATGAATGGCATGCTCCATTTTGGTTTAAATATTGGCATCTAAACTTTTTACTTGAAAGTTCACCTTGAATTTTGAATAACAACCCAATTCATTAGACAGAACATCAAGAAAACATTTTTTTAATTCTTCATTAAGATTTTCGCTGGGACTTTTTAAATTTGTCACTTGTCCACTTATATTTTTACAATAATAAACATTTATCGGCAAATCCCACAGTTCGAATAGATTCATTGCATTTCTTAGAACATAAGCATTTTTTATACCTGCTTATTCAAAAAAAAAAAAAAATTCTTGCCACAAACTGAAATAAAAGTTGGGAAATACTAACAAGTTACTAAGCATGCAAGAGCCCAGAAAGTAGTTGACTTAACTTAATACAAGGGAGTGGGAGAGGAAATCCACTGTAGTTAAGATTAAGGCGACGGATGGGAATTTGTCACTAGTCCAAGAATTATATTATTTTCTTCTTAAAAATAGTTTGATTAATTCACATATATATAAAATAAGAGTTTGGTCAATAATATCAAGGAAAAAGGATGAAGTATTTACCGATAGTCTTTTCTTTTTGAGGACTGTAGGAATTTAGATTCTTTTGGTCGAAGCTTTGTTCTTGAATCAAAAGGACCGGAGTTGACCTCAATAGTTATGGCTGTGGGTTCAGGAGGCAACTGACTAATTGGTACGAACTCCTGTTTATATATGTTTTTTGGACCCTCTAGAACCCAGTAGAAGTTTCATTCTAATATTACGAAATCTAAAGGGTTTGGCGAATGGGAGTTTTTTGTATGGTAAAAAGGGCATCTAGTAGCTACAGATTTGTCACCATTTTAAGTTAGAGTTTGTATTTTATAATATAAGCCTAAAGAAGTAGGACAAAATGGGGCCTCATAACAATGGGTATGTAATTGTTTTGGAAATTGGATTTATTTATGAACATACAAAGGGGTAATAAACCATAAAAATGAACCAATCCATTGGCTATTCCAATGCATCTTTGGATTTGGTGTTGCATCATCTGTTAAAACAGTTCTCAGGTAGTTAAATTTATGTACTTGCTTGATTTGGGATATATATATATATATATATATATATATATATATATATATATATATATATATAATATGTGTGTGTGTGCATGTTTGTGTGTGTAAGTTATAGCTCACATTTGAGCTTTTATCCATTTTCTAGCTTTTCTTTGAGTTCCTGCAGTTTTTTATTTGTGTCATCAACATGGTTGTCTGCTGTGTATCTTATGTTAAGATTTTACCCTCCTATAATAAATCCTGGTTGGATTTCAAACTCTGCTTGCCAATTTCTTGTTACTTAACCACTAAGCATTATGCACATCCACTTACTAAGGATATGTAATAAAAAACAAAGGAGTAAGTTGAACAAGAAATAAGATTTATCTATTTGAAATTGTCTGAACACTTCCAAAAGTGTAAGTGGCAACATGCTTCTGCACAGAAGTACTCAAAAGGCAAGGAAGATCATGCTTGTGTATGAATACTGTGTGCAAAATGCATACTTTCTTCCTCTCTTACTTTGGGCCATAATTGGGATAGGTCACTAAGATTTGTGCTCTGTGCAATAGCTACACATGGCTTAGATTATACATATCACTCACTAATTTGCTTACAGACTAAGTTCAATTTTTTCTTCATCCTTTTTTACAGAAACGCTCTCTTAAGGACATTTCTAGAATTTGTACTTACTTTCAGGAAACATTCCTTAAAATTTTCTCTATATGAAAATTTTCCTAATAGAATAATTATTTCCATCTTGTTTTGTTTCACTCTTTTGTTTGTCTATATTCTTAACAAATTCAACACTTTTAGTTTTTGTTTGTCAACACTGATACTTATAACCTAATAACAGCAAAATATATATTCCATGGTCAAAGCAATATCAGCATGACATGGACTCAGTTGATCATATAATTTCTCAATGTTTTCTTAGTCCTATGATGTATCTCATTTTTGTTTAATCATTTTATTGATTTTATTCAGAGATGTCTTACATTACACTAATCCTATTATTTTTTTAATTAGTGGAATCTGTGGAATTTCCACAGAACAACTAATAGAATGTTGAATAAACAATAAACTTTTTCTACATATATGTATGTATAAAAATAACACATTGAAGAAGGAGCAATTAAAATCTCTACATCATACTTATTATAAAACCCAGGTTGTGTGTGTGTGTCTGTACGTTTATATATTGGATCAGATTTCCTACATTTTTCAACCGATTTCAACAAAACTTCACAGGACTATGTAAAATTACCTTGCGGTGGTTCTGACAAAAATTGGAAAAACACAATTGTTTTTGTATGAAATTAATTTGGAAACATGATTAAGAGGCATTAATGAAAAGGGGACAACTCATATCGAGTTATACTTATTATAAAACCCAGGTTGGTTGTATGTGTGTGTCTGTGTTCGTTTATATATGGAATCGGATTTCTTACATTTTTTAACCAATTTCAACAAAACTTCACTTTTTTTTTGGCAGGTAGTGTTTCTTATTGTCTTGCACACTTTTTTCTTTATTTTTACATTCAGAATGCTTTAAAAATTCCATTTACAGGACAATTGTTTATAATAAAATTCTATTCAATTGGTAGACTCATAACGATTGAAAACAATGTTTTTGTTTGAGTTTGGGTTTGACCAATTTGTAAAAAAAAAAAAAAAAAAAGTAATGCGTGTCCGTCAACCTTAAACAATAATCTTTGTCAATTTTATTTTTCAGTCTTTATGATGGTCGATACTTGATCTATATCTCTTACTCTCTTGATCTATATCTGTTACATCCCCGGGCAACGCCGGGCTCTACTGCTAGTATATAACAGAATGAGATACTTAGGCAGCAAATAGTAAAATTGTGTATATTTGTACAAGTATATTTACAAATACATAGAGTTTAGCTATTAAATCTATCCTTTTTTTAATGTACAATAATCATAGGCTGGGAAAATAAACAACACATATCGATACTTGAGAGTGTCCACCATGCGTGCAAAGATTGCCAATCAGTCCATAGTACTCCCTGCTCAATAATTGGTCCATGAAACTAGCTTGCTAACCATCACACCAGTGTAGATCGCCCGTGTGTGTGTAATATGAATCCCAAAACAAAACACACATGCATACATATATATATATATATATATATATATATATATATATATATATATATATATATATATATATATGATATAAAATCTCAAACACTAATATTCCATGGTTATAATTTATTACATTTAAAAGCTTTTTTTGAATTTGTAGGTGTGATGAATTGGATCATGATTACAATTCCAATGTAATAAATTATAACCATGGAATATTAGTGTTTGAGCCTTTTATATTATATTCTTGCTCTGTCTTGTACATTGAGCTCTACCTGGATTCTATCCTCTTGGAAATATATGTGTGTGTTTTGTTTTGGGAGAAATAAAGATGTTTCATCCTCTCTCTTGTCAAATGAGTTTTAGGTACATTCTAAAATATATTGCAGATAAAATAGACATTAGAATTCATTTTTCATGAACACTAATGAGGGATCTCCCAATCCTCATAAATATGTTGGACACCATTGTAAGTGGGGGTAATATGCTAAGTAGTTCACCTCTAGCAGTGGTTTACCTATTTTATGCCACTGGCGAGTATTGTATTTTGTTGATGTTATAAAGATTACCATTTCATTTCCAACCTCCATTTTGGTTATTCTTCATTCCGTAACCTTTTCTAGGTTATAACATTTAGTATCACAAAGACTTGAAATATATTGAAGAAAGATATATATATATATATATATATATATTGGAGAATTTGACACTCACAGGACATATTGAAGGCAAGAGGGGCAGAGAGAACCATTGAGTAACCTACCTAATGAGCTTGTGTAAATGGATGTCAGATCAGGATGTGGGGAAAAATAGTAAAAAAAGAAATAAATTTAAAAAAAAATTTTTATTGTTTTTACAATAGGGTGTCAATTTCCTAGTAAGAAATTTGGACATACTTAATATATATGGTTCTTTATTATCCTTAGATTTCATCAAGAAATCATGCCATTATGAAATACCATTATACCAACTGGCTTAGTTCATTCCCATCAATATGAGCCACACAGACAATACCATTCTTAGCAATCTATGTAATACAGATGATTCATATTGAGAGCTAGTGAGAAAAGAAAGCATCATGATACTGAAATTCACCTTGGCTTTGACTTACACATCTATCTGCCTGACAGAATGATATATGCTGCTTCCTTCAATTTCCTCACTCTCCTGCAATGTTTCCTATCTATTATTTGACCTCATTCTGCAGAGGATAATATGAACTTTTCTCTCTCTTCATATTTGATCTGCCACACTAGACTTTGCTACCTATCTCTTTGACATAACTTTATGTTCCTCACATCTGATTTTTAAAGGGAAAGTTGGATTCTGCATTAGGTTCTTTCCCACATTTACATGTCATGTTATACAGGTAATCTTTTGTGAACAAATTTGGCCCATAACTTTCCTTGTGGAAGGCCATAGAATAGATTGACTGTAAAATGACAAAAACAAAGGCCATGCAAACAATAAGCTCAATATTCTGAAAAACTCTTGGAAGATTTTTTTTTTAATTATTTCACACCAATCAAGGCAATAAAGCCACTAAGATTTATTGCATTGAGACATTTTAGCTAAGATTTGACCACTGTCTTGACACCAAATAGTCTGAATCTTGTTTGAAATTCTGAGATTATAATTATTCCATTACTTATTCAGACTAATATATATATATATATATATATATATATATATATATATATATATATATATATAGTTTTCATCAATTTTCCTATGAGACATACCTCCTGGTAACCTAGAATTGTGGGGTTAAGACCTCATTATACACTGTCAACCTTGACAAGTCTTACAAGAAGCCAGCACACATTTGATTATAATTTTTTTTTGTTATTCAGTCTTTCTGTATAAAAATAAAGAATAAGTTTATTGTCTTTAACCACTTTTTTTTTTTTTTTTTTTTTTACAGGAAATGAAATTGCGCTGGATTTGAGAAATTCTTCCCATGCATGCGACAAGAATTTGGTCTTTCTGAAAAGGTAAAAAATTAACAAATTGTCTCTTGGCTCATCATTAGCAACAATTGAAAACAATTGCTGATTGAGATTTTGATAGGAAAGAATATCTTAATTTGCAAATTAAGCAGACTAGTATCCTCATCATTGGTTAATTTTCTTTCAGCCAATGTGTTCTTTGGCCTTCTTTATTGTCTGAAATTATGAGATAAAACAGTCTCATTAATCCAATAGTTAATTGTACTAATATCCTCATTCTTGTTGTTCTTTATCATATTTTGGCAAATAAGTTCTTTGGTATCTCTCAAGTATATAAACACCTTATTCAGATCTGCCATCCATAAAGAGAAAACCTCTTCTTTTTTTTTTCTTTAATATATATCAAAACAAGAATAACAAACAGAAAACCCAAGGCAACACATTTGTTATATAATAAAAAAGCTCAAACACTAATATTCCATGATTATAATTTATTACATTGGAATCGTAATCACAATCCAATTCATCAGACCTACAAATAAATACCCTTCGAACCCCCCATCATTTCCCCCCCCTCTCTCATTTTCTTGATTTTAGGTTTAGATCATATAGATTTTTATTGTGCATAGTGTCACCACAAATGTAACTCTTCCAGTGTCTGTTTTTTAATTTTAATGTAGGTCAGCAATTCGGTAGCGAATTATGCATCGTAAAATAATTCATGGTTATTTGTATCTCACTCATTTAAACCGTTATTTAACTCCTCTCTTTAAAACTTATCTCTTAAATTTTAATCCCCACCTTCACCTTTAGGCCTTTCCTGTTCTTCTTTCTTTTATTACACCTCTCTCTAAAGCTTTCATACATCTCACTTTCAAACTTGTTTCCCACTCCCACACATACACTCTAACTAAAATTTTGTTTTTTATACCTGGAATTATATTTTCCGATTTCTTTTTGAATTTGTAGGTCTGATGAATTGGATCATGATTACGATTCCAATGTAATAAATTATAACCATGGACTATTAGTGTTTCAACTTTTTTATTATATTATTACTCTGTCCTGGACATTGAGTTCTACCTGGATTCTATCCTCCCGGAAATTTATTTATATATTTTATATATATATATATATATATATGAAAGAAAAAGGAAAACAATTGACACATTTCATCCTCACACAGATTTTATTGAGGCAAATGTGAGGATTTTATTTTGCAACAAGTATTTGTAAACAAAAGTAAAAATGTTGCTTTTTTCAAAATTTTAAATTTGAGAGATGCTCATAAATATTTATCAGGTTAACTGTCCAGGTAAATTATGGAGAATGCTAAATGATGTAATTTAATGTCTAATAAATGAAAATGAGTAAATGATGCTGAAGGATCATGGGTAAAGATGGTGATTATAAAAGTAGAATCAAGACGGCAACGGGGCTTTTTACAAGTGTTTTTAGTATTAGTCAAACTAAAGGAAGAAATTGGAGAAGGAAGTCAAACAGAATACAAAGAGACAGAGGATGTCATAGTAAACATGGATGGAGATAAGACGGAAAATTGTTACATTCTTGTTAAGAACAGAATTGAGGAAAACCAGGGTATGTCAAAGCTTTATTTTTCTACCTTTGAACAACAATGTGTGTGTCTGTCTTCAGAATGCCATACATATAAATAGTTTTCTGCCATGTTGAAGCTCCTGCTTTGTCTACAGAGAGGAAACTGAGATCTTAAAGAAGAACAAGGGTCAATTGACATTTGAAGAATATAGATAGTTGATTCAATTTTCCAAAAAATATGGAAATAATAACTCTTCTCAAAATTATAAACAAAACTCAACCAGTTGCTTTTGTTATATTTTTCTTTTATAAATACTTTTAGGTCTGGCTATCCAAGATTTTATTAGGCAGAGGTAATTCACAAGACAGAATGCAAACAAAATGTACAGATCTATAACTAAATAGAAGAACAAAAAGAAATGCTCTATTGAATGAATTAAATACTTGCAGAAGGTTGAAGCACTTATTGGCCAAAGTTTGGTAATTCTAGTCTTAAACAGTTTATGTAATAATAATAACTTCCTTTAGAATTTCAGAAGAAAAAAAAGCAAATGTCAGTAAGAATGAGAATTCCTTCTCATTTAGAGCTTTTCTTTATTTCCAATCTATGCTGTTTAGTAACACTCATAGAGCAATTGTCTGAATAATTGCAATGAAAAGCAACTGCAATTAAGATGAAAGAAATATCAGATAAAAATTAATAATGGTTGACAATACTTCATCTAATAAAAATTCAAGATAATATTACTGCCTCTTTGCTAATGACCGTCGGTAGATGGTCTTTCTTGTTGCTGTGAAAAACAATCAAAAGGAAAGAAATTCTAATAAAAATTTAATAACAGGTGAGAATTCTGGTCTAATTCAAGATACTTGTTTACTAATAGCCATAGAGTAATGGTTTGGATTACTGTTGAAATTGTTAAATGTAGTTTCTTCTCTTGGACTTCTTGTTTGTGGTACTGTCTTCTAGTTTCTTGCTTTCCTGTCAACTACAATCTTCCAAAATTTAAATGCAACATCAATCATCATCTTCTGTCTCCTTGAATCCTGGTCATTTAATGTCCTCTCTTTTTTCAACATTTCCTCAGTTTCTTTCATGCTCAGTAACCACTTGCATCTTAGTGACTTTATCACCTTGTTTGGGGTGAAATAATTAAGAAAAAAAAAAGCAATTCAAATTAAGAGAAAAGAAATGTGAGTGAAAATTACAGATGAGAAATCTGATCTTGTACAACTCACAGAATCACAGATTCATAATTAAAATTGATTTCATTTGTAGTCATGGGGATTTGATATAGCACAACAGCTTCTTACAATGAGAGTCCCAATGCATACAAGGGAAGGAAACTCCTCATTTTTTTTCAATCAGGTTTTTGGTATGCCCCAGGTGTCAGTACTTAGAGCTGGTGAAAGGGTCTTGTGCCACCCTCCGAAATCTATGATGCTGGGACACCACTCTACAACATCTCAATTTTCATACAGTAGTATTTATTGTAACATAATTCAACTAGAAAAATTGAAAATAAATACAATGTATCTGAATACAAATTAGAGACATGTCTTAATAGATCATTCAATTTTAAATCAATAATATTTTGTAGCAATTAACATCAACTTGAAATTTTTCTTGTTAAAAAGTTGAATAATTATAACATTCAACATTATGGATAAAAAATAAATTTTATATAATGTTTTTTTGAGAGTATATAATGTTTTCTGATTAAAACAAATTCATGGATTTGAACCAAAAAAATATGAAGAGAACAACGTCAAAATCCACAAAAATTTTTCATCTTTTAATAGTTGTGCTTAGTTTAATTTGTAAAGTATATAAATGTGGGTAGAAAAAAGTAAATGCTGATAAGATAGCAAGGGTCAAAAAGCACTGCCCAGGGCTCCCAATCAGGCTTGGGCCCTTCTCGACCAGGGTGGTTTGTAGGTAGCACGCACTGGCCCTGTCAGTACCACACCCTACCACTTTTAGAGCAACAGGAAGGTGATATCTGAGGAAACTAGATGACTACAAATGACCAATGTGCAAAGGACACTTGTAGCAGTGGCTATTATGTGCATATATCTTTATGGTCATAACTTGAGTGATTCCTTTTACATTGGCAGAAAAGATATTTTTTCCTTACCCTTTTATTTTAATCTTCTGCCCAAAAATGTCCACTGCATGTTATTTTTTACAGCTTTGTTATAAACAGTTAATTATCCTGCTACATGAGCAATGGAGGAGATCAAGAAATAAGAATTTGAATAAATTAATTTGCACTTGTTAACATAATTACTGCCATACAGTGCACATGTGCAATGTTGCTTCTAATACATGTGATCGTTCTGTGCAAAAAATTATGCATCATATAGCACTACAGAAAAAATAAAACAAATCCAGTATCAAGGACCCACATCAATTTAATTTTACCAAAATAATTAATTAGTATCATATAGAAACTTCTAATAACTAATAAAAACATAGATAGCATTATGTAAAGTTTCAAATATCCAAGATGGAGTGAACATGTTGAATATAACTTATCAAAAACATAACATCAATTAAAGCTGGACATCCCAATGGCCAAAACATAATGACAATAACATAGATAAGGACAATAGTCCTCATGTAAATAATAACATATCATTGTTTAATTGTTCAAGATTGCAGTGAATATGTCAATAAATTTAATTTTATTTACCAAAATAAAGTATAAGTAGTCTTATAGGGAAATTTCTAATGGTAACTCTAATAAAAGTATCAATGGGGATATGTAGGGATTCAAATATCTCGGGTCAAAGTTAATGTGTCAATTCAATTTTATTTACACTATTTATATTCAAACTATTGTTTTCATCTTTGTTGTTTTTATCACAATGTTTTGCCTGTTGTGCCCAGGTGTATAAATAACCACTGTTTTACCAAATTCACAAATGCATGGTTTTACCCACTAGGCCATAGTCCCTTAGGGCAATTTGCTGAGGTAAATGTAGAGCTTTACACCTAACCTGTTACTTAGAGCTTTATGTCTAAGGCTGCTGCTGCCACTGCTGCAGTTGAAGACTTGCTGTCATTTTTCTTTCTTTCTTTATCAGCAGCTCCCATTTTGTATTTATTTCTATGCTAGGCCTACTAAGGAGATCCTCATAGCCTGCCATATGTGCTGATTATTTGAAATGTCTAACTCTCCAATGTTCTTTTTTGTTCAGTATTTTCACTTCTTTCCTCAGGGGCTGATGGCCATCCCTTTCCCTCCATATATGATCAGCCATGCCTGATTCAATTTTATTTACCAAAATAATGCATAAGTATTATCAAGCAATATTTAATGGTAAGTCTAATAAAAATATTGATGGTGATATGTAAGCATTCAAATACCTATGGTCAAAGTGAATATGTCAATAAATTCAATTTTATTTACCAACATATACATAATCTTATGTAACAATTTCTAATGTTACATCTAACAAAACGTACCATTGTGTAATTGTTCAATGTGTATTGTGTGATGTTGAAAGTATTAAAAATGCCATGGAAGCTATTCTAAATGAGATAAATGCTGAAAAAATGAACTATTTTTAAATTTTATTTTATTTCCTTTGTCTGCAGGGAAAAACAAAACACCATCTCAAATCCAGTCCAATGTGTAAAACATCCTCATGGCTTAGCTCCTGGGAATCTTGTCCATCCTTGCGCAGTAAATGAAAGAGATTTGAAATGGTTAAGCCCTGCATCAACTCCAACACCAAGACTGAAGAAATCTTCAAGAAAAAGGTTTTCCAAAAGATGCAGTAGTAAGTAATTGTTGTCAAATCAAAGGCAACGACCATTCAGTATTGTGTAAATAAAAACTTCTAACTACAAATATGATTGAAGTGTCTGTATTTTTTAGACAAGGCCCGATTAAAGTTTATTATTTCTATACCAAAACCGATTGGGTCATTTGTAGCATCAATTAAAATGAGAGAAATCCTGGCTTTTCTGTAGTCTCTTATGTCTACAGAGTCATGTTACATATGTCTGCAAAGTTTTGTCTAATTTAGTTCTGCATTTTAGACGGGCATAACAACTAAGTAGATTATGCATGAAAAGTTACCGAGTGCTTCACTCTGCTTGGATAAATTTTGTTTCAAATTCTTGATAGATTTAAATTTCTGCATTTCAAGAGTCTTTTATTTATTTGACAATTTCAGAATTAAGAGTTTTTCATAGATGATAAGTAGGCAATGCTTTTTCTTTGCATTTTTTTTTTTTTTTTACACATTTTAATTTCAAATTTCAAAATCTATTTTTGTCAAAGTTAAAGCACAAATTATGAATTACCATTAAATTTTATTTAAAACTAGTTCATTGCCCATTCTACAATGGTGTTTTTATGCTGTGAATATACTTCTGCCATGATGAGAATATATCGGGAAAAAAGAAAGCTTTACTTGAAATTAGTCTGTAGACTTGTTGATGTACCTGCATGTGTGGTTATATCAGGCAACAATAATAGTGTACGTTGAATATGTCATTTTTGGACATCCATATTCAACTGGTACACTATTATTGTTGCCTGATATAACCACACACACAGGTTAACAAGTCTACAGACTAATTTCAAGTAAAGCTTTCTTTTTTCAACATAGTCTTTTTCCTTGTAATGAAATTCTCATAAATTTAAGCAGGCTCCCATCACATGAAAAAAAAAATGAAAAATACTAATTTACTTTGTGAATCACAAAGCAGCAAACATTAACTCATATAAATATATAAATGGGTGTTTTGTAGACAGATCTGTTTGTCCAGTGGTCAGTGGGTATCAGCAATTGACTGCTTATACTTGATGTTTTTTTTTCATATGCACTTAGCATTGGTGCAAGTTATTTTTCATAGTGTATGTGCACGAATGTTCATAGATGTAGAATATTATATAGGAAACCAATGTATTGGAAAAACTTGCAAATGCAATTCCACCAACACAAAGCCTGCCAAACAAAAATACTTGAAATAACAAAAGAAAAACTGAGGACCAATAAACAAAGAAAACAACCAAAAAACAAAAAGTAAAAGGAACCATAAACAAAAAAGAAAAAAGACAAACCAAAAAGACACGCATCTACCTACACAATAAAGACACGCATCTACCTACACAATAAAGACACGCATCTACCTACACAATAAAGACACGCATCTACATACACAATAACTGAAAGGGTGCAATGTCTAAATCTTTATTTCTTTAAAACTAAGACAATTAGTATGCATATCAAAATGTATGCAGAGCCATATAAGTAAACATTTTATAAGCCCAAATGGCATAAAATGAAGAAGCAGTTGCCATTAACTTATGGGAAATTTTTGTTTAGGCTCGAACAATCATGCAAGATTTTTGCTACAATTGCAAACATAGCAGAAAAGTATAACTTTAACTTTGAGACATCAGATTTTCAGGATATTTTCAGTGACTACAAGTGGGCCACCTCTCCTGAGTAACCCTCCCCACTCACTCACATTGTCATTTTATGATTTGAAAAAGACTTTGTTTGACATCACCACCAAGGTGAATGCCGAGTCACAAAGGAAAATTCTTGTAATACAGCCATCAAAACCGTGAAAGATGCCTATTTTAATTACAAAAAACACTGCATTTATTATTTTATACTTAGTTACAACACTTTCTCAATCCTTCTCTAGTCAAAGGTAATGTGACTTCTAACCTTAGTTGGTTGATTTTTCTACTAAGTATATTTTTCTACTAACTAATATGTGGCATGGCAGGTCTTAGCTGTGAAAGTCTGAACTGATGGAACTAAGAAATGTAGCTTATCATGGAGATAGCAATAGATTAGTGAAAGGTTTGTGTCATTTCATCTTTGGGAAAAGGGTTGTAGGGTGAAAAAATAATTCATCACAAAACCACATAGACACTTTTGAAATCTGTCATGGCTGAAAAGTAAGGATTGGGCAGCTCTAGTCCAGACATGGCAGCAGTACTCTAGTTTTAGTCTGATCTGACTCTTGTAAAAAAATAGTGCATGATAAGAGTAGTCAGATACTTTCTTGAGCTCTACAAGGAACTGACCATTTTACCAGCATCTTTTGCAATGGATCATTTCAACTTGAGGTCTTGGGTGAACTTGTAGCAGCAAAGAAAAATAAAATTGTGCCAGGATAAGAGCAACAATTAGCTTATGATAAGTTTAATCAGTAGGAAGCATGTCTTTCTATATGATTCATGCATGCATTTTGAATTTTAAACAATTTTACTTTGAAAGTGCATTTTCATCATTTGATGTTCTCTATTTTTGG